ACACACACACACACACACACACACACACACACACACACACACACACACACACACACACACACACACACACACACACACACACACACACAAAGCACCTGAGGTTACAGCGTTGATTTTGGTAAGCGCTGGCGGGAGTGCAGCGATGGCCGACTCAACGCTCGACAAGCGATCCTCGTGGTTGGCAATATTGCCATCGTGATCATCAGCACGCGCTTGCAGTGCACCAATCTGGTAGGCCACGTGCAACAAGAGGTGGATGTGAGCATGACGCTGTGCAGCGACTAGGTTCTCTGCAAACACACACGCACATACACACGCATATGCACACGCACACGCACACACACACGCACACGCACGCACGCACTTCGGAAGCGAGGCTGGTTCGAGCGGTGGTGATGTTCTGGGCAAGGTTGGACAATGCTGCTTCGACGTCTTGCTTAAGCGCACGTTCCTGCAGCTCCGACCGAAGCTGGCTTGTGTTGTGCGCCGCGTCGCTGGCCACGCTGGCCAGCCCTGACGCGAGCGTGGAGACGCGGGTGGGCAGCCGCTCTGCAGCAAGCTGGGACACCTCCATGGCTAAGCTGGTGGTGTTGACGTTGAGGGTGCTGGCGATGGTGCTCTCCACGCCCATCAGGCGCTCGTTCATTGCATTCACGCCAACCTCCCGCCCGCCAGCCTGCGCGATTACATCACCCTGTGTGCGTGAATGTGTGCGTATGTGTGAGTGTGTGTGTGTGTGTGTGTGTTTGGTGAAGGCACAATGAAACACGCCACAGGTTGTTGCCAACCAGGCAACAACCAGGCAACTGAGGTCGCTGAATGGAACGTCACACACGTGCACATTCAGCCCCCCCCCCATACACACACACACACACACCACGCGAGACGACAAACACCATGAACAGGCACTGCACCTGGTATGCGACGATGCGAATGCCCTCTGCACTGGTAACAATTTGGTTCTCCAGGGCAGTGCACACGAGCTGCCGAAAGGGTACAGGCTGACCAGTGGGTCCGCAGAACACAGTCATCGGGCCCCCCTCAAAGCCAGCAGATACGTCACACTCGACCACGCACACGCCGTTTGGCGGCACACTGCTGCAGTTATGAGCAACAGGGTATTCACTGAAGTCGCCTGCGTTCAAGTGGCAGTATCCATCGCCGCCACTGACCTGTGTTCCCACTGCCACATGCAGCAACGCCACTGCAAGCCAGCCCAACAACACCACCGCCCTCAGTGCTGTTGCTGTCGTTGCTGCTGTCGCTGCACGGCGGTGACCACGAGAGCCAGATCGTCGCTCTTGACCACCAGCTCCTCCTTCACCTGCCTTCCTCCTGTACCTCCCTGGCTTCTCCGTCGCAACACAGGCAGAGCTTGCAGAGACGGTATGGGGGCCACTGCCATGCTCGCTCTGCGTGAGCTGCTCGTCAAGCTGCTGCCCTCGCATCCTCCCCACCCTGCTGCACCCTGCTGCACCCTTCTTCAGCCACGCAGGCAGTGGTCCTGCCTCCTCCTCTTTGTTCAGGCTCTGCACACCCAACTGTTGTCGTGTTGTCTTGCTGTGGGGCTGGCCGTCGTGTGTTTGCTTTGCTTTGCTGTGCGTGTTTGCGAATATGGAAGAGCACCCACCAGGTCGAACACGCACACTTCTTCGTCTTTGTCTGGCTGGCTGGCGTCGTCACACACCCTCAGCGCGCAACGCACACCAAGCGACCAACCAACGCCCACTTTTTCCGTGAAGCTTGCTGAATGCCACGCTTGGTGGCTGCTGGTTGGTTGTTTTTGACGAAGGTCTGTCCAAGCCATCGCCTTTGTTCGCACAGCGAACAGCGCGAAATCGTCAAGATCGCCTTCAAGGCATGCATGCAAGCGAAGCGAACGCAAATTAAAATGCCTGCTTCAAATTTTTCCGGGACAAAGAGGTGGTAGACAAAACGTGGGCAAGGTTGTCAAGTATCGTTCATTGTGCATCGAATCAATTCACCAAAGACAAAAAGAAAAGAAATGTGATGCTGAAATTGATTTGACGTACATGAGACACACTCACACAAACACACACACTCACCCATTCACACACACACACACACACACACACTCTCTCTCTCTCTCTCTCTCTCTCTCTCTCTCTCTCTCTCTGTCTCTCTCTCTGTCTCTCTCTCTCTCTCTCTCTCTGTCTCTCTCTCTCTGTCTCTCTGTCTCTCTCTCTCTCTCTCTCTCTCTCTCTCTCTCTCTCTCACTCTCTCTCTCACTCTCTCTCTCACTCTCTCACTCACTCTCACTCACTCTCACTAACACTCTCACACACACACACAACACACACTCTCAGACAGAGACACAGAGGAA